GCCCAGCAAAGGACTCAGCCTCGGGTTTGAAGGGAAAAGGGAAGCCACCCGTGATGCTTGATGACGACTCAGAAGCAGAGGAGTCTATTTTGGCTCAAGGGATCTCCCGCAGAGCGTCATACGACTCTGAACCTACCATGCGTCCCAAGAGCCATCCAGACCGCAAACCACGAGGGACCACGGCTCTTTCAAAACGAAAACGTGTCGATGATTCTGAAGACGAGGAAATTAGGAATGATGCAAGCGAAGAAAATGAAGCTCTCAGTCACGAAAATCAGAGTCAATTCACCGCCCCCGAGGATGATAGCGAGGATGACTGGTCCTTCTCATTCGGACTCGAGGCCGGAGTAGCACCAAAGGATCGTGGCAGCCATGCAGTACAACCAGTCAAGAAACGGCCAAAGGTCTCGAACTCGAAGAACATAACTGAAATGGACATTATAGAGCTATCTGATTGAGTTTACATGACGAGCATAGTACTGCTAGCATACATGTGCATAATCTTGCAAGAGCTGCGTGGTGTTACATGCTACTCTGACAAACCAGTAATGTGAACATATGCAGAAAGAATTGTGTGAATTTGAACAGATTCAACATGACTAGTACAACAGGATTCGAGTTACGAGATGCAAAAAAAAAAGTACAAGCAATTTAAAGTGTGTGGGTGTGAGCGAAGAATGAAATGCAAGTTAAAATGCGAGAGAACGAAGGAAAATGCAGAGATTGTGTTAAAATATGCAAGTGATGGTGTGTGACGTGATGGCGGCGTGACTGATGCAGGTCGTCGGAGGTGTCGTCAGGATCGTGAGTGGTCGGAGTTACCGGAACCAAATGGTGACCAGCTTTAAAGGAGTTATAAGTCCAAATGATTGACCTTTGTGCAAAGTAATGCACAAAGCCCAAGCTGAAGTGGGAGCTCGACGCTTTGAGTACTGGCCACAAAGCGGAGACAATCACATCACGGCAGCTCTTTAATCATATAATTAATGCTAAATACTGGGATCGAACGTAATCAGTAACTGATTGGACAGGATCGATTAATGTCTCACCTGAACTCGATAGAGTAGAAGCATTATGACCTATTGGAAGGTCAAAGGACTCGAGTTATTTTTTAAAACTCCTTTTAAGCGAGTGGCGTGTTCTGGTACTCTTCGGTGTGTCATGCTGATACGGACACCATGTTCGTTCATCCAGCCTGATACGTTCGGGGTCATTGAGAATTCTTAAACCAAAGACTGGGCACGTACCATCTCCAACATCAGGGTAGTCACGTAAATGAGGGGGATACTCCTCAACAGCCGCCTTGTATCGGCCATCGTTACACCATAGTTGGTCTCCTCTTCGGTTGAACCATCTTTCGAACACGAGTTAGTCAAAAAGCTCGCTATGTTATGATCAAAGATTCTCACCCTTTGGGTCGTGGGCGGCTAGGGGGTGGTGTTGGGGCAACCAAGTCGTTGTGCCATCGGACTGAGCGACCAGCGGAGCTGCCTGAGCTGCTATATGAAGATGATCGACCCGATTCGTCCGTCGCGGCGCTGTTGGCGGGAGAGACGGAAGGTGGGGGACGCATGCTGACCCTGTTCTCCGCCTTGATGCGACTCGACTCGGCATAGTAAGCAGCTGGGCCTCCCGCTTCTTGGGCTCCGTAGAAACCACGGCTAACCTTTCGGGAACGTCTGTCACCATCTGAGGCGTATGCACGAAGGCGTACCTCTTCATCCTCCGAGTCGTGCTCATATCCTGCACCGGGTACTACGTAAAGTCGGTGGGAGCTGCTATCCATTGCCTCAAAGTATTGGGGTTGTTGTCCGGGATAGTAATGCGACTCGGGGAAGGGCTGGTAGGTTGGAGAGGAGGAGGGGGATGTCCACACGGGATGGGTACCCATTGGGGAGCTTCCGTAGGGGACAAAGTAGACGTTTTGACCCGGAACCTTGTACATATCTGGAACGTTTTCTATCAAAAGTGGAAATTCTTCAGAGTCGATTGGAAACAAAGGGAGGACGCCGGGTGCCTGGGGGTTGGAAGGTGAAGTCGAAGAAGGGG